GACATGGGGAAAAAGGAAAAATGGCAGTAAATAGGAAACTTAAAGTAGCAAATGAAAGGAATAAGACCATTTTAAATTAAATAGTGAGTGTTTACAATTAATATTAGCTAATTAATGACATTAGTTTAATGTGTTTTAGCTAATGCCATTGATGTAATTACTTAAATTCATGTATTAAAAACAAACCTCAGATCTGGGCACAGTGGCTCGTGCCTATAATCCTTGCTCTTTGGGAGGCCAAGGAGGGAGAATTGCTTGAGGCCAGAAGTTGCAGACCAGCCTGAACAACATAGGGAGACCCTTTCTATACAAAAATTTAAAGAAAATTAGCTGAACATGGTGACATGCACCTGTAGTCCTATCTTCTTGGGAGGATGAAGCTAGTGGATCACTGAGGCCCAAGGTTTTAGGTTGCCGTCAGCTGTGATAGTGCCCCTGTACCCTTGCCTGGGCAACAGAGTGAGACCCCGTCTCAGAAAACCAAAAACAGAGCTCAGATTGTGGAAGGAACCCTGTAAGTTCAATCACATGCTATTTATAAAAATCACACAAAACCAAAATGATATAGAAGGCTCAAAATAGATATGAAAAACTAGGAGCTATGTAGCAGAAAAATTGAAATTTCAGGTGAAAAGCATTAAAAAGGGCAGGAGATATGTTTCATATATAGTATTCTATATGAATATATACTACATATGTATAATATATACACTATTAATAGTATAATACTATTTAATAACATACAATATAAATGTAATCATAATATAACAGCATATATTACTATATACTGATAGTATAATATCAGTATAACAATATATACTATTATACTAGTATAACAGTATATACTATTATAACATACTAGTATAATAGTATATACTATTATATACTGTGTATAATAGTATATACACTAATAGTATATACTATTTAATAACATACCATATAAACATCATAATATAACATATAACATATATATAATTATATAACATAAATATTGTACATATATTGTTAAATGTTATATATATAAATATTATAATATATATCATAATATAACATTATGATAATGTTGACATAGTATTATATTAATACATATAATATTATTGTACATTAGCTCAATGTGTAATTAGCTCAATGGTTTACTCCAGCAATGCAATGATAACGTGACATCAGGAAATCTAAGGTAATTTACTACCTAACAGATGAAAGAATAGAAAATAATTCATACTGAAAAAGCACTTGATAAATTTTAACACACATTTTTTATTCTTAGCCTACAAACAGAAAGAAACTTTTTTAACTTAGTAAAGGATATTGATCAGAAACCTTCATTAAATACTGTATTTTGTGGTAAAAACATTTGAAATACTCCTGTTAAAGTCAGGAACAAGGGAAGAGTCCTCACTGTCACTTGCTATTCACCAGCATTTTAGATGTTCTAGCCAGTGCTTAAAGATTAATAAAAAGCATACATCTGGAAACAGATAAAAACTATTTTTTAAAGATAGTATGATTGTCTACCTAGAAAATTGAGAAAAATAAATTAAAATATATTGGAACAAAATAGAGAGTATCATAAAGTAGATTATTTGAAGTGAGTTCCTTACACAGAAATCAGTAGCATTTTCTGTGTCAGCTATAACCAATCCTACTTCTATATGTTAGCTATAATCAGTCAGAAAATATAAGCAAGAAAAGATATACCCTTCACAATGACCTCCAAGTGTTGAGATAACTGGGTACAAATATATGAGGATACATTAAAAAATCTATATGAAAGTCTATAAAACTGAAGAACATAAAAGACTCAAATTCTCTGAGAGTCATAGGGACTTTATAGGGAGATTTAGTAGCATTGATACTCCCTAATAAACTGTTAAAATAAATGCAGACAAGTCCATGCCAAAATTCCATTGGAAAAGAAATCATGGGAAAATATTTAAGAACGAAATTAGAAAATAACAATGCAACATGTGCTGTATTAAATACAAAAACATACTATAAAGAGCTAATTAAGCAGAGTAGATAGACCAGGGGATCGGGATAAAGTCCAGAAACACACACACACGTCCTCTACACACAAAAGTAACATTTGAAAACAGAGAACTTGAACCAATAATGCTTATTGGGGCAATTAGCTTTGCATTTGAAAAAAATAAAATCAGATATCTACCGCACATTAACCACCAAATCAACTCTAGATGGGATAAAAGCTAAATGCAAAAACAAAAATCATTGAAATATTAGAATATACTATCATGGCACATTTTAACATAGACAGAGATGGCTTTAAAAGGAAAACAAAATTCACCAGAGCCATAAAGGAAATAGTCAATTTGTTATTCAGTATTAAACACCTATTAGTGATAAGAGACCTTAAATAATCAAAGTTAAAGAGCAAGTGACAAAAAGTAGAAAAAAAAAGTTGACCAATATCCAGAATATATAAACTCCTACAGAGAAATAAGAAAACCTACAAATAGGAAGGAGGACAAGGTAATTAATAGATACCGTGCGATAAATATAAGGTGCAAATTGCAATGAAATGAAAAGATACTTCATCATTGTTAGAGAAATGGCAATGAAAAGGAAAACAGAGGTATTGTTCAATTTTGGAAAAATTTTAAAAAGATTAAGAATAATCAGTCTTATTAAGGATTTGAGGAAATAGGTATTGAAATACATTGAAACCCAAATGTTGTGTCTTTTCAGAAGAAGAATTTGGCATATTTAAGTTGAAAAACAAGCAAAAACTTTGCGATCTAATTCTGATTCTAGGGTATATGCTTATTTGAACAAAAATATATTCACAAAGGTGTTCATCACTGCACTGTAACAATGTCACAATCCAGTATTAGGAGAATAGCTCAAATATCACAGTTGTAAATGAAGAAGATTGGATAAGGATGGCAGATGAGCACATCCATCCCAGATCCCAAACATGTTTTTTTGTTTTTGTTTTTTTGAGACAGAGTCTCAGGCTATCACCTTGGATAGAGTGCTGTGACATCATAGCTCACAACAATCTCCAACTTGGGCTCAAGCAATTCTCTTGCCTCAGTTTTTCTATTTTTAGTAGAGATAGGGTCTCACTTTTGCTCAGGCTGGTCTCAAATTCAAGCAATCCACCTGCCTTGGCCTCCCAGAGTGCTAGGATTACAGTTGTGAGCTACCATGCCCGGCCCCAAACATATTTTTATATAAACAAATCTAAAATATGCTGGAAAATGAGATATTTTTCATTTCATTTTCATGAGCTAGAATTTTTAAGAAATTGTTAAACCATATTGTTAAGTGAAAGCAACTCTTAAAAAATATATTAACACATCTATGAAAAAGGCTATCTATGTGTGTATTACTTGTATTAATATATGTTTGACATAAAAGTTATCTGGAAGGATACATGCCAAACCATTGACAGTGGTTGCTTCTAGAGAAGGGATTGAATTCAGATATGAGGGATGATAAAGGAAGATTTACTTTTTCTAAGAGAAAGAAGGAAGAAAACTAGAAGGTGAGTAGACAGACATGTGGAAGCTCTGCCTAGCTTCTTGCACCTCATCTGTCTTTTCCTGAAGCCTGGAGAAACCAAGCTGAAGGGGGCAGGAAGCTCCAGGGGTCAGCAGGCCAGTATCAGCACCCTGCCCTCAGGAGTTGCTTCTTTGGCAGGCTGCCTTCTCTTTCCAGCTCTTTCAGCCACGTCTTTTGGCTTCAACTCTGGCCAACTCCCTAGTTTTTTTCATTAGGTGGATCTGTCTATAGCCTGGCATTTCCGTTTGTCTTCTATTTCCATTAATTCAAACATCTCTATTCTTTGGCATTTTCAGTGGGTTGAGTTCATTTGCTATAGAAAATAAAACAGAGAAACAAAAGGTGAAGATGGAAATTCTATTTTTACTGATCGAGTGTACTGAAAAATACTCCCAGGTAGAAATAAAGAATTCTTTTGGCTCCTGATACTGGTACTTTTGTTGTTGTTGTTGTTTTGTTTTTGAGACAGTCTCACTTTGTCACCCTGGGTGGAATGCTGTGATGTCACAGCTCATAGCAATCTCAAACTCTTGGGCTCAAGTAATTCTCTTGCCTCAGCCTCCCAAGTAGCTGGGACTATAGGTGCCTGCCACAACGCCCGGCTATTGTTAGAGATGGGGTCTCGCTCTTGCTCAGGCTGTTCTCAAACTCCTAAGCTCAAGCAATCCACCCACCTCAGCCTCCCAGAGTGCTGGGATTACAGGGGTAAGCCACCGTGTCTGGCCCTGATATTGGGATTTGAATAGCATATATATTCCACTCAAGGGAGTGGAATAGCATTTAGGGATTTAGATCTTTCTTTGTTCTGTGGAATGTGTGTTTCACCAAAATAAATTGTGTGGGAGAGTCAACAGTTTAGTTCTCTCAGCAGTAAACAAACTTTCCAGCCAGAAAACCGGGCCATAAGAATCCTGTCTACTGTTTAATAAGACAAAAGAGAAATGTGCAGGAAAGCCACAGTGGAATAGCATTGGGAGACAAAACTTTAAAAAATAACAAGACATTCAGATTGGCTCAGCGCCTGTGGCTCAAGTGGCTAAGGCGCCAGCCCCATACACCTAAGGTGGCGGGTTCGAATCCCCAGCCCGGGCCGCCAAACAACAATGATGGCTGCAACCAAAAAATGGCCAGGCGTTGTGGTGGGCGCCTGTGGTCCCACCTACTTGGGAGGCTGAGGCAGGAGACTCACTTGAGCCCAGGAGTTGGAGGTTGCTGTGAGCGTGATGCCATGGCACTCTACCCAGGGGGACAGCTTGAGGCTCCGTCTCAAAAAAAAAAAAAGACATTCAGATTCATAGGTACTGAGGATATGAAATGAATAGTTCCTGTCCTTAAGGTTCTTGGAGTTGACCATCCACTCAGCTGTAGAGCTAGTCATTGTGGTACATGTCACCTTTATTTCATCCTCTCGTACATGACATTTTCTCTAAGCCTAGATGGTAATTATATGGTGCTACTGCTCCCTTCTCTTTCAGGCAAAAATAGACCTCTTATTGGTTGGAGATGTCACTGTTCCCTACCTGGCGAATGCGGTGCAGGAAGTCTTCTCAAATATAGAAGTCACCGTCACTACGAGTGATGTGAAGAAGGCGGCGGTGCTTCTAGATGACTGCATATTCCACATGGTTTTCCTGAAGATGACTTCTCTCAGTGCTGAGGAGCTGGAAGCTGTCAAGTTAATTAGGTAAACTTCAAAAACCTTGACTCTCTGTTGAAAAACCTGTTTCTATAAAAAAAAGTCCTTAAAAGATGATATATTTCTACTTTAATTTTTAAAATACTTTATTTTAAAATTCATGGGTAGAATCTATATTCACATTTTTATTGCCAGTTTGACATACTGTTGTTATAAGAATTATCATTTTAACTTGAAAAGCAGTAAGTATGGGTGAGAATAAAGTGACTTGCCTGAGAATTAGTCGCTCATGGAAATGCATTTGGCATGTGATGCTTACATTATCCCCATAGGTGCTTCTTTTTAATAACTACATCACTAAAGTGGTACATCTTTCCAGAGTTCATTAATTGTTACAGCAGATACTAAAATAGATGAGCACTCTTTGCTTTCTGTCTTATTGGCTACAGACAAGAATGTCTCTCAGAGCTGTGAGGCCGTCTAGATTCCTTGAGTCCAGACACTACCACCTCCAGTGTTTTTGTTTAGTCTTGTAGCTGCATAGTTCTGTTTCTTTCTCACCCACTTCTGTTCTAGAGAATTGGAGCCCAGTGGTGGGAGAGTTAGGTTCTTCCTCACCTGATTGTATCAGATTTTGAGCTGTGTGGGGTGTGTTTCAACAGAGTTAGATCAGTATAGATTTGTTCCCCTTCTACAAGATACTTGGTAGAGAAAGTGAAATGGTAGATAATATTGGAAACATATAAGAGCTTGTCAAAATTATATGACAGGCTTTTCTAGACTAACAGAAATTTCAGAGACAATATTGTGATCCTTGAGTAAAAGCGAAGGCAAATGATGTTAGGGGAAGAGAAAGGTTGGAATGAAAAGAAGCCCACCGCAGTGAGTGGGGGTGTTCTTAGAACAGTTGATTTTCTGTTTCTTTTGCCTTTTTACTAGCAATGCAAACTTCAGACAAACCAGAAAAACCATCTACTTCCAAGTGGATTATTTTACTTCCAAAACACTTTGTGAACTACATTCCTGAGAATACGTCTATTTCACCACATACCTTTAAAAAAAATCTAGAGACAGAGTTCCTGTGTTGACAGCTCATCATCAGTTTTCATTTATATCATATTTTAAAATGTTACAGGGCGGTGCTGGTAGCTCAGTGGGTTGGGTGCCAGCCACATACACTGAGGCTGGTGGGTTCAAACCCAGCCCGGGCCAGCTAAAGCAACAATGACAACTGCAACAACAAAAAAAATAGCCAGGCGTTGTGGCCGGCGCCTGTAGCCCCAGCTACTTGGGAGGCTGAGGCAAGAGAATCACTTATGCCCAAGAGTTTGAGGTTGCTGTGAGCTGTGACGCCATGGCACTCTACCCAGGGCGACAGCTTAAGACTCTGTCTCAAAAAAAAAAGTTATATGATAGCTATATGAGGCAGATAGAATAAGGTTTCATCATCCCTACTTGACAGATGAGAAAACTGGACTTCAGTGACTTGCCTAAGAGCACATGGCATGCTTTCAGAAAACTCAGACTAGAACTGCTCACTCTTCCCTTCATGAGCTTTCTACAAGTCTGTAATAACTTGACTTTCATATTTTTGAACCTCTTTTTCACCTCTGAGGTTCAATATATGCCAAGCTCAGTGTAAACCAAACATAGATATGGTTTGGGGAGAGCACTGGGACAGATCAGCACAGCTGGTGTCTCTCTTCATTCCAAGAGTGGCATCCTCACTACGCCTCTCTGAACAGAGTAAAGCATTGTATTTGCCAGTTATCAAAGCTACAAGTTTGAGCAGAATAAGAATAAAGTTCTGTTTAAGAGCCAGCTTTATGTTCGGTTGCAGTTCTTAAAAACTAGGAGGTAAAAGGGGAGAATTTCCCAACACTTTTGCAGATTTTCCTCTGCAGCTTTTATTGTTGTGAATAGCAGAGCTTAAGATTTCTTAGCAGAGAAGAGAAGGTAGATGAGGGTACAAAGTGTACAGATTTGCATATGGTAGTTCTATATTATTTTTCTTTGAAAGCATTTTTTGAAGAAAAAAAGGGTAATTCTTGTTCATCTTTTATTTCAGTATTCCCAGTATCCAGCATCTGTCTTGAGAAACAGCAGATGTTTTGTACCTTGCAGTAGGCATGAGTGGGAGAAATGCCATTCTGGGGCAGACGATGAGTTTTAACTTTTGTGTTCCTCTGTGAAAAAGGGACAAAGGGTATTTTTTTTTCCTGTCTCTATGTGTCTATAAACTTGGCTTTTATGATGCTGGCTTTGGAGGCTAGGAATGTTTCTGAAATTCTCTTTCCCACCTCTTAAGGTAATGAGTCCTGCACACATTCTACCCTTTTTATAAGGAACTTAAACTGTCATCTTTCTTAAAGCTCTGTCTCTTCTGAGCTTTGGCTAACATTTAATGACTAAACCAAAACACAGACTCTGATTTACCTGTTAGTCTGCTGTATTTTAGATTTTTCTTGTGGTTTTGCAAGATTTCAAAATCTGAATAGAAAATTTACAGCTACTTACCTTACTCTTCTCTACCTGGGCACTTGGTGTTCACTGCCAGTGAATGAGGAATTTGCAATAGAATAAAATTGTTTATATTTATTCTCAATATTGAAGCACCTGATCACAAATATGTGTGTCTATAAGGCATAAGGATTTTTTTTTTTTTT